CAATGGCTTTCAACTGGGAAAGATTTTACATCCTTCTCATCAGGAGCCATTTGGCAATATCTGGACACAGTTTAAGTTGTCAAAACTGGGTGAGGGGGTGGCACTGAAGAGGGAAAGGCTAAGGATGTTGCTAAACATCTTATAACGCACAGAGCACTCCCACTCCACTCCCCCTACACCCCAGTCCAATGTCAACAGTACTGAGGTTAATAAACCTTGAATGAGAGGGTTTAAAAAAAAAGTCTTTTTCTGTCTTTAATCGTTGGTGACTTTGGCAGTTGTCTGTGACTTATGAAAATGTAAGACGTTCCAAGATAAATGTGGACACATGAGGACCAATGAATCATTTTTTTTTCTATCCATCACTCTTACTTTAAGAAAACAACATGATGGCACTACCTCTCTTTGCAGAGTGGAGGGAAGTGATGCACTGACCAAACCCTCGCAGACAAAGGGGACGGTCTATGGGGCTGGGCTCTTCCTTTTCTTCTTTACGGCTTGCAGGTCCACAGAGCTGATCATTGGTCCCACAGTCAGTAATTCACCCACACTCTGTTTCATGCCATCCATTGCAACCCCCTCAATATTACTTATTTCATGTCCTCCGTTTCCGGTTTCCCCTCCACCTTCTTCCTTCACCCTTCGGAACTTTGTCCTTGGCCGATGGCTCTTGATCCCAAATGGCCAATTGTTCAAAGGTGTGCACACATCAACAGGGTTACTATTCCCAAATGATTGGTTATTCTAAGATGTACACACACCAATAGTGTTAGTATTTCTCTTATAGACCTGTCCATTATTTGGTTGAACATTGAGCCATGGGGGGAGTTCAGTTCCATACCCAAAGAGTGACCGTGGACTATAGTGTCAAGGTCTACACAAGGAAGCCAGGTCTGTTCCACAATTTTGAGTTTTGTTCTATATCTTTTTCCCACTCAATCCAGGGCCTTCTACTGTGGTCCTTTTGAGAGTAGTAGGTAGTGGTAGTGGGGCCTTAGAGCCTGATGGTCCCATGATCTCTTAGTCCACTGGACTAATTGCTTCCCCGTGCCTTCAGTTTTCATCCCCTTCTTTCCTCTGAACAACCAAGAGGCCAACAGTTGAACCTTAAAAGGCTGGTCTTTCCAGGGAGGTCAAAGCTCACAGTCGTTCAGAATCCTGAATGCTTTTCCGTTAAGTTTCCGGCAGCTCAAAAGGGGTTAAAAACACTTGCATTTAATTTGCTCTCAGCATTTGCTCATAAATGTTAGATTGTTTATAACTCTGCTATTTAATTATTTATTTACACGCACGCACACACACACACACACACACACACACACACACCCTAAATCGCTCTGGGAGCAATTGGAAAAATGGGAAGAAAATCAACTGCAGAGACAGGAGACCTATGGTTAGCAGCTAGGCCTCCTCCTCGTCCCTGACTTGTCATTTTTAATGGAGTTCCTGATGGGGGTCCCTTACCTCCAAACTGGTTCCTCTTCCGACCTTCCATGGAGAAGATTATGAGCTGAGAGCATCAGCAAACGGCACCACTGACCACCCAGTGGCTCAACTCGGACATCTTTTACCCCTCTTTACTTTGCTGCACCCACTCCCCATCAACCACACTACAAGCAAGTCCTGTGGCTCACCCTCCGAAGGATAGACTGAATCTAGCTACTTTAGGGACTACCGAATTCGTAGCTTACATATTATACAACATAGAGGGTGCACTGGTGGAGTAGTAGTTACAAGTTGGGCTGCGAACCACAAGGTCAGCAGTTCAAAACCAGCAGTTGCTCCAAGGGAAAAGGGGAAACTTTCTACTCCCATGAAGAGTTACAGTCTCGGAAACCCACAAGGGCAGTTCTACCCTGTCCTACCGGGTCACTATGAGTTGGAATAACTCCCTGGCAGTTAGTTTT